CCATATGCATGTGAAAGTTGTTCAGTGAATAAGGAAAACTGTAGAAGAGTTAACACATTCCAGTTATGATGGTGGAGAAAAACACTGAAAGTACCATAAGAACAAACAAATGCAAGACATCAGATTGCTCCTTACAAATCAAGATGACAAGACTTCATCTATCATACTTTGAACATATTATCAGGAGGGAACAGTCCCTGGAGAAGGACATTATGCCTGGTCAAGCGGAGGGACAGCGAAAAAGAGGAAGACCGCCAAAAGATGGATTAATGCAGTGGCAGCGGCAGTGGACTGAAGCACAACAATTGTGAGGAGGGCACAGTGTTTTGTTCTGTTGAGCATACAGTTGCTAAAAGTCAGAGCAGACTAGAAGGCACATAACAATAACAGCAACAGATATGGCTTGGTATTCATTTTGAAATGAGAAAATTAATAAGCAATGCATCAATAATGTGCTCCTAATTGATGAACCTTTATTACAACCCAGGCTTTACACTAATTCTCTACAAACAGTATCTCATTCAATTCTCCTAAGAACCTATGAGGGGTATCATTAATCCCATTTTAGAGATGAGTAGAGAGGCTTAGAGAGGTTAAGCAGCTTGACAGAGAGGCTGGGAAGGAGGCGGTGTTGTTAAGTGTCATCCAGTCCACTGACTCACAGCAGCTGCATTCAGAACAGAACAAACAATGTCTAGCCCTGTACCGTCCTCTCACGTAAGGAGGTAAGAGGCATACTCTCTTAGCACTGCCTTCCAACTCCTTTGCATACTCTTATAATGTCCTCAAGATGAAAGGCAATGAAAGCATCTCTGACCCTGCCCTGAATTCATACGCCGCCACTCTGTCCCCCAGAAATAAGTGGGAGCAGCCAAAACACTTCAGTTCTTCCAGCCCTTTCAGGATCTTTCAAATTATTGAAGTAAGTTCTTTGAAGTCTGTTTGATTTTTTTTTTCTTCAGTTTTTTACTGTGAACTGAGTGAAGGTAAACAGACAAGATGATCAGCTTTATTTTCAACCAACCATGCCTTTTGTTTCATCTCAGAGATTACTCTCCCCTCCTTGTAATAAAGGAGTCCTGGTGTGGCGCTGTGGGTTAATGGACTGGACTGCAAAGTTGGTTTGATCAGCTAGGTTGGCAGTTCAAGCTCACCAACCGCTCCTTGGAAACACTATGAGGGGTCGCTATGGGTCAGAACTGACTTGATGGCACGTAACAACAACCCTGTAATAACAGTTATCCTGCTTCCACCCTGTGGCTTCCGTTTTACATCTTATTTTTTGTAAATGAACACAGCAAAAATATTTGATGTACACATATAAAACCAAAACTATATGTTCATTTAAATGTCCAAAGGGCCCCTATTGGAAGCCAGCCTCCTGCCCGCAGGCACAGTGTTTCTCAGTCCATGGGCCTAGAGCCTACAGCTGCTCTCTCTCTGCCACTGCCCCTGCTATGGTCTTCTGTTGCTGTTTTTTTTGGGTAGGCTCTCATGATCCCATCATGCTCTTCTCTCTCGATGGTCCTGGGTGTCTGTTTAATTTTTGACTCTACAATTTGGAAAGATTTAACAGCCCCATCTGTAGATGTAATAGCTTCCCAATGAATCCTTGAGTACTGTGCTAGGCTGAATTGTGTCCCCGCTACAACAAATGCTCAAGTCCTAATTCCCAGCACCCATGAATGCAATCTTATTAGGAACTAACGGCTGTGTCCATCTGACTTACTGCCATCAAGTCAATTCTGACTCTTAATAGACATAATCAAGCGACGATGAGGACATACTGGGTTAGAGTAATTCCTAATTCAACAACTGACTGACTGGTGACCTTCTGCGAAGACAATTTGTACACAGAAACATGGGCTCATACAGAAGAGATGACCGTGTGACAACAGAGACCGAGAATGCAGGGGTCTGTCTACAAACCAAGGAACACCTAAGACTGCAAGCTAGGAAGAAGCATGGGATAGATTCTCCCTCAGAGACCATAGAAGGAGTCAATCCTACCACACACCTTGGTTTTGTATTTATAGCCTCCAGAACCATGAGAGGATACATTTCTGTTTTTATAAGGTACCTATTTTGTGGCATTTTGTTATGGCTGCCCTAAGAAAGGAGTCCTGGTGTGGCACTGGATAAACATTGGACTGCTAACTGCCACATCGGCAGTTCAAACCCACCAGTTGCTCATTGGAAACCCTATACAGTGTTGCTATGAGTCAGAACTGACTAGCCAGCACTTAACAACAACCCTAGGAAGAGACCTGGTGTGATAATTGTAGGATAAACACTAAGCTGCTAACAACACTAACACCAAGGTTGACAGTTCAAACCCACCAACTGCTCTCGAAAAACCTATACAGGGTGGCTGTGAGTCAGAACCGACTCAACGTCACTTAACCCCATCCCCCTAGGGGAGTAACACAGGGGCCTTGTCATTTTCTGAGCACAGTGCTTTGTTCATGTCTCTCTTTTGTTAGTCTGCATCATAATAACATAATTTTTGTCTTTATTCTGTAAGCACCAAAGGAACCCTGCATTCTCATCACTGTGCATTCTATGCTCAGCATAGCACCTGACCCTTAGTAAAACCAAATACCAAACCCACTGCCACCGAGTCAATTCATAGCGACGCTATGGGAGAGTAGAACTGCTCTCTAGGTTCTGAGGAGGTCAATCTTTATGGGAGCTGACAGCCTCATCTTTCTCCCATGAAGCAGCTAGTGGATTTGAACTTCTGTCCTTGAGGTTAGCACTCCAACATATAACACACTACACCACCATCAACGTTCAAAGAATGATTCACTGTTCCAACGTGTTCTACAAAAGTCTTTTACACTAGTGTACTATCTGCGCTGCACTGCAAAGTGGGTTTGAACCACAAGGTTGTTGGTTCAAGTTCACTGGTTGCTCCTTGGAAACCCTATACAGGGTCACTATAGGTCACAACTGACTTGACAACACTCAACAACAACTGTTTAAGAGAAATTCAAACTGAGGTATTTCAGCCACTGATTTATATAAGTTGTTGTTGTTGTTGTTGTCAGGTGCCATCGAGTCGGAACCGACTCATAGCGACTCCATGCACAGCAGAACGAAACAATGTTCGATCCTGGGCCAACCTCACCACCGCTGCCACCCCCGAGTCCATCAATGATGCCACCTGGCCGATCCATCTCGTTGGAGGTCTTCCTCTTTTTCTCTGACCCTCCACCCTACCCAGCATGACATCCTTCTCCAACGATTGTTTCCTCCGGACTACATGTCCAAAGTAGGAGAGACGAAGCTTAGCCATCCTGGCCTCCAAGGAGCACTCTGGCTGCACTTCTTCCAAAACAGATCTATTGGTTCTTTTGGCAGTCCATGGCACCCTCAGTATTCTCCTCCAACACCACAACTCAAAGGCATCAATTCTTCTACGATCCTCTTTATTCACTGTCCAGCTTTCGCATCCATATGAGGCTATTGAAAACACAATGGCCTGGGTCAGGCGCACCCTAGTCCTCAAGCTGACATCTCTGCTCTTCAATACTTTAAAAAGTTCCTGTGCAGCAGATTTGCCCAGTGCAATACGTCGTCTGATCTCTTGACTGCTACTTCCGCGAGTGTTGATAGTTGATCCAAGAAGAATGAAGTCCTTGACAACTTCAATCTTTTCTCCATTGATAAGAATGTTGTTTATTGGTCCAGTGGTGAGGATTTTTGTTTTCTTGACATTGAGATGCAATCCATATCGAAGGCTGTGCTCTTTAATCTTCATAAGTAAATATTTCAAGTCCTCTTCACTTTCAGCGATCAAGGTTGTATCATCTGCATATCGCAGGTTGTTAATGAGTCTTCCTCCAATCCTGATGCCACGTTTTTCTTCATAGAACCCAGCTTCTCGTATTATTTGCTCAGCATACAGGTTGAACAAGTATGGTGAAAGAAAGATGTAAAAAGAACAATATGAAGGCCTACCTCTGCCTACATGGAGTTCTCAGTTGCTTCTATGGGGTCTATGCTTCAATACCATCACCATGAACTTAAGTTAAAAATTAATTTTTTTTTTTCAAGTTACGATTTTGTTACTGTTTTTGCTAAGTGTTGTTGAGCCAGTTCCAACTCACAGTTACCGTGTGTAGGATTTCCAAGGAGCAGCTAGTGGGTTTGAACTGCTGACCTCGTAGTTAGCAGTCTATTGCTTATCCTACAGTGCCGCACCAGGATTCCAAGTTACAACTTATTGTTGTTGTTAAGTGCTGTCGAGTCAGTTCCGACTCATAGAGACCCTGTGCAGTGTTTCTGAGGAGCACTTGGTGAGTTTGAACTGCCAACCTTGTGGTTGGTAGTCCAGTGCTGGTCTAATAGCAAGCACCACTTATATACCATGAAATCCATGCTTTTAAAATGTACAATTCAGTGGTACAGTTACTATGCAACCATTGTTGTGGCTATTAGCTGTTTTCAAGTCGTTCCACCTTACCCATGATGGGATCAAACCATTGTGATCCATTAGTTGATTTTTTTGGAAATATCCAACTCAGCCTCTCTCCAAACAGTCTGGAGGTTCTACAAAACCTGCTTAGCATCATGGCGACATGCAAACCACCACTGACAGGTGGGCGGTAGCTGCACTTGAGATACGTTGGCTGGGACTCGAACTCAGGTCTCCCGCATGAAGTGAGAATCCTATCACTAAGCCATCTGTGCTCTCTGTACAACCAGTATCTTTGTCTAATTCCAGAATATAGGAGAGAATTGGAACACCAAAGACATCCACACAAGAACACTTAAAGAAAGCAATATAAAGCAAAAAATTGACCACAGAAATGCCCCAAGGAACATGATGCAAATTCAGATCATTGAAAGTTGGCTGCAATTCTTGTCTCACCAGGTACTTTCTAGTTTGGAAACTAGTCATGACCCTATGATAATACCTATCCATAAAAAAATTCCTGTGGCGTACACAGAATGGTTACCTGGCAAAGGATGAGCACTGTTCTGGTGTGGCTTACCTGTAAAGTCTAAGCTTCACTGTGTCTTCATCAAGGATTGGGCAGCCATTGTGAACGTATTTCACTTCGTTGGGAAGAAAATGACAGTCAAATACCTAGTTCACAGGAAGAAATGGATAAAGATTTGTGAGACAATTGGTGCAAGATCGTTTTTTACATTTTTTCCACCAGTGAGTGCTGCCTGGAGAAATGATGGTTTATCAGTATTGCTCCGTCCGTGTGTGTCATCATTTTACCACATCTAAACCCGAACCCCACACCCATCACCATCTTGCTTATACAGCTGTGTCATATCTAAATTATGAAAATCCAAACAGATCAAGCAGATACACTGAGAAATAACTGCTCTTCTAAATATCACCTTTTATAATCTATAATATATTTAAAATATGGTTCATTTGTCAAGTTTTTATTTACTTATACCCTTCAGGGGTTCTAGTAATTGAGATAGAGGTTTGTCTGTGTGTATATATGCCAAGGCACACAGAATTCTTCACACAAACTCACTTATTGTTAAGTACTGTCCATTCTGACTCATGGCAAACCCATGTGACAGAGCGAAACTGCCCCATCCTTAACATTAAACTCTTCACAGGAACAGAACATCAGGTCTTCCTCCCAAGGAGACACAGAGCCGATTCGAACCACTGACACTGGTTATCAGCGGAGCACCTAACCTTTGCAGCACCAAGGCCCCTGTAGTTTTGTGTGTGTGTATATGTGTCTGTCTCTTCCACTCACTCCTCACTTATAAACATAGGTAGGTTCCAAAGACCAGATCATTATGTGGAAATTGCCATTATGCAAAAATGGAGGAAGACCACATCAGATCACAAAATGGAGGATGGGACTAAATCATTAAAGAACTGCCAATTTTCATCATTATGTAACTGCCAAGCCACTGAGACTCACAGACTACCAAGCTAACATATGAACTTAACAATCACAGCCAGCCTTCCTCTCACCTCACACCTCCACATTCATTACTGCCAGGCAAATGTCATTAATATACAAAACAGTCAGGTAATAGATTCTTTACTACTGTTGTAAATGCAAAATGTCAGCTTGAGAGATAGTAAGTGAAGATTAGGACATATACAAGGGGGCTTCAAAACATTCATGGGAAAATTCCATTGTCTTGTAAATCCACTTTTCCACAAACGTCTTGGTCCCTCATATATCCTATTCTTCACTTATGTGTTCATATCCTTTAATTTTATTTTTTTCTTTTCCAAATAGTTGTTTTTAATACTCAAAGATAAAGTCACAATAATGGACACTACTGTGGCTGAACAGAGCCAAGCCTGACCCACAGTTGTCTCTCCCTACTTACAAAAGACTGCTTTTATTAGCTATATGCTTTTATCAGACATGACTGATGAAGCAAATGGAGATTTAAAGGCAATTTCCTTGGTACAATCGCAATAATAGTGCGTTGCATCACTTACAATTAACAAGGAAATTGCAGAAGAATCTTCTCTTCCCTATATATCATATCTCTCATTCTACCTAGTCTGAATTGATAAAGTTCTGAGAAATCCCCTTTAGGATTCATACCTCGTCATGATTTGAGTTAACAATGCCTGATCTGTACCTTTTTACAGGCGCCAACGTTCCAGACAACATAATCTACTCTGGGAAGACTTTCTCACTAATGTGAATGACTTTCTTTTCCTACCGACATCAGTGGTCCCTCTTCTTAATTGACAACAAGGAAGGAGATAAAGGAAAGACCTTCCCCCATATCATTGACAAATAGTCTTAGTAATAAAGAGACAATCTGCTTTGTTAAAAGAAACATCTGTTTTATGTTTCGTAATATGTTTTCCTTTTATAAAAGGCGACAACCATAATTGTCCATAAATTTACTAACTAAAACAAAGGAGAGCTAAATCCTTTTCTAATTACTGTCTAGCTTTGTTTTTTTCCACTTCAACTGCTTTTCAATTACAATTTATAATTAAATTGTCACACATTCCTAACTCATTAGTCACTTTAATGACAGTTAACTGGTTCAAACTAGAGATATTTTCGCACTGCTGTATTTCCTACTTAAAAGAGCAAGCTTGGTGCTAAACTGGATGTTTCTCCGCTCAGGAAATTTCTTGCTTTGAATCGGGTGTGAGGGAGTCCTATCGCTGAAGCATGAGCAAACCGTGTTTCCCTTGGCCTAGCCTTTTTAAATACATAAAGAGGGATATCTAAGCAGAAGGTACTGGCATGCCCCAATTGAAATGCCTTTCCAAATATCCAATAGGAAAATGAACCTGTTGGTCCTAAGACAAACTTCAGTAATGAAATGAAAACACTAATTGAACAGATGTTAAACAAAACATTTTCTGTGCAAACACATGAAACTGTTCATTACACAGCAGGGTGTTGTTAATACAATCGTCTCACAAGAAATGGGTTCACATAAGGCTTGCTTTCAACTTACTATTAAGCTCTATTAAAGAATAATGTTTGGCCTTTGTATGCGTGCATACACATTTGGCTATGTTCAATTTCAAAAACTCCATAAGAAATGAATGCCTGGGGAAAGCTAAACCAGCCTGGATTAAAAACAAGTGCAAATTCCAAAAACAAAACAAAATACACCAACAAGATGACTTAACTGGGATCGTGTTTTTGTTGAAATTATTAGAATAAAGAAACCAACAGTAACAATCTCCTGGAAGTTCAACAAACAAAGTGTTCCTAATGTATGAGTATATACTACTCCTCAAAAACCCTCTACAGGGTCACTATGAGTCGGAACTGACTCGACAACACTTAACAATAACTGCAGTACAAAGTTCTAACAGTTGACAAAAAGGTGCTGAAATGCCACGTTTTAATTGACTCCTTCGCTACCAAATAAATTTTAGAAGATAAAATTACTTTCTATTTATAACCCCACCAGATTTACCTTCGGAAATACATACACTGAGTGTTTAGAACACAAGTCTTGCTTTCTTTAATGAGCAACAGCATGGCCAGGGGTTAGTTGGAGCCACTGAAGGCCTTGCCCCATTCTTAGCCGTCAAGACTGATCTAAGTCAGCCAAGCATTGCGATGTTTCTGCTCTACATTGTCTTTCTAGTAACTAATCTTTGCCTTAAATTCAGGAAGTTTGAAATGGACATGACTTAGAAGTCTTTTCCAATCCTTGACCTTTGTATCCAATGATGGTTTTAACCAAATCTTGTCACTCAAATTCAGTTTTGCTCTCCAGTGCCTCAGAATAGGCCAAAGGATAAGGACCATGGAAACAGCACTGTAGATATAAAACGGAGACAATGTAGATATAAAATGGAGACATACTCTGTGTATGTTGAGAAGATGCATGCACTTGGAGTAGAGAGTGGGGCCCACTTAGAGACTGGAGTGAGTAATGGGATTAGGGGGGACGGTCCTTGCTGTTGAGGTGACTCAGACTCATGGAGATGTCATGTCATGTACACCGAGAACTGCTCAGTAGGGTTTTCAATGCTGTGATTTTGTGGATGCAAATTGGTGGGCATGTCTGTCTTCTGAGACAACTTTTGGTGGGCTCCAACCCCCAATCTTTTGGTTAGTAGCTGAGTGCTTAACTGATTGCACCACCAACAAGTCCTCTTCCCAATTGTCTTCTAGGAAGAGGGACTCTGGTGACTGACCTGGCTTTGTGTTTTTTTTCAGAGGGGTATCAATGCTTGGAAGGTGCCCTGGTAGCTCGTAATCCACTATGCTGGCTGCTAACCGGAAGGTCAATAGTTAGAATCTACCAGCTATTCTTCCGGAGAAAGATGAGGCTTTCTGCACCTGTAAAGATTTACAGCCTTGGAAACCCCATACAAGGTCACTGAGTCGGAACCAAACTCCATGGCACAACACTACCAACAACAATTCTTGCAACCATGAGTGAAAGACTGTTAGACCACAGCCTCAGTGCTTCCTACGGAGGTCTGCATCTCGTCTCCCCCAAATATAGCTGAGTGTCACTTCTAAATAAAAGCTTATCTGTTTAAAACAGGGGTGGGGAGCATCTAGCCCGTGCGCTGTGTAAGGCCCATGAAATAATTTAGTCTGGCCCTGCCAAGGCAACCACAGTTCCAGCCATCACATTACAGGTGAATTAAATGTTTGACCAAATATAGCAGGTTATATTTTAAGTTGATAATTTTGTATGGCCCGTGTATGATGTTATAAATATCCAAACGGCTCTTGGCAGAAAAAAGGTTCTCCACCCACGGTTTAAAATATATCTGTGGAAGGGGCACTCAGTTATTAGTTCATCAGTGTTTATAAAACACACACATATATCTTTGCAGCCCTTGGTCTTGGCTTTATCATTGTTTAAGGATTAGAGTACTAAATTTCTTCCTCTCCAAGGGTTTGCACTTTGCTTTTGACTGTGATCTCAGGCTGGACCTTCATTGCTTGCTGCTTATCTTATTTGTAAAGAGCTCTGGTAGCGTAATGGTTACGAGTTGGGCTGCTAACCTCAAAGTCAGCAGTTTGAAACTACCAGCTGTTCCATGGGAGAAAGATGAGAATTTCTGCTCCCATAAAGATTTACAGCCTCAGAAACCCTGTACAGTGTCGCTATGAGTCGGAACTGACTCCACAGCACACTGCCCCCACCCCCAATCTTATTTGTACCACTATCTACCTCATTTGGAGTCCTGGTCTGGCACTGCAGGATAAGCGCTTGACTGCAAGGTTGATTTGAACCACAAGGTGGGTAATTCAAACTCAGCAGCCACTCCTCAGAAACCCTATACAGGGTCGCTATGAGTCAGAACCCACTCAACAGCACTTAACATCGACCTCATTTAGCACATCTAGGTTCCTGGTGGGAGCTATCCCAGTTCTATCCCTGATTGGCAGGTGCCAATCAAGCACCTTTCAGAGTGCAAATTATGTTAGGAGAAAGTGGGACAATGCTAAAAATGCCAAAAAATTAGGACTATAGCGCTTTTAAACCTAGAGCTATCATTGTATCCCTCTAGCATTCTTTGATGCCTATCAAAATCTCCTGACAAAAGAAATTCAGCAGTAGACTGGGGCAGACATTGGGTTGTTATCACATCTGTAATACTCCTAAGGTGGGAGTCTCCCACCCATAGACACACATAGAATTTTGATGTTTTCTGGGATTGGACTATAGCCTCTAGTGTTGTTATTCTTATTAAGTGCAGTTGAGTCCATTCCTACTCATAGTGATTCTGTATAGGGGTTCCAAGGAGCAGCTGGTAGGTTTGAACTGCTGACCTTGAGGTTTGCATTCCAGTGCTGATCCTACAGCACTACACCAGGACCCCTAGTGAAATAAACTGAATGTCTCCTGATGTCATTTTGAGCTGGCATCCATCTAGGTGTCTGTTCCAGCTCTGTGACATCTAGAACCATTTTTTAATAACCTCGTGAAAGAGGTTTCTTTAGTCAAATTTAGAGGAAATTCTATTCACAGTTCGGCAAATGGAGTGGTGTATATTTTTCCCAAAATGGTGCAGCAGCATTTAGTGTTATATGTTTTCACGAGTATTTAAATTAAAGAGCAGATTTAAACCACGGTAATAGCAGCAATGAAAGCAGAAGCAGTTCTAGATTGTACATAGGAGTAAACTTCTACTTTAAGCAAATTTAATACACAGTGATGCAGACTTTCAAAACCCAATGAAATCGAAGGTAAATCTCTTCCCTACAAAAGGACTGAGCACAGATGCCCTTAAATACCAATGTCTGAAGGTGCTGATTAATGCCCAAAAAATTACACGGATATTTTTTAAGAACCTGGCATATTTAAAGTGAATTATATCCATATCTCTTTACTAACTTCTCTAACCTCAATAGATGAAGACTTACTGTGCCCATCTGAGGTTAAAAATTGCATCTTTAAAATGCTGGGAAATCTTGGTGTTTTATCATCCAGGCACACGAACTGAAGTGGGTGAGATAGTTTGGGGCAGGGTCCTATGAAGTTTGTCCACATCACACCATAGAAACGACTGCCCACTCCAACACTTGAAACAGCAGCCCCTAACTTGTTCTCCCTTTTTTAAGCTTCTCATGTTATTGTTGTTAAGTGCCATCCAATCGATTCTGACTCATTATGGCCCCATGAGATAGGGTACAACTGTCCTGGAGGCTTTCTTAGGCTGAAATCTATATGGGGGCAGATCACCTGATCTTTTCTCCCTCAGAGCCACTGGTGGGCTCCAACCTCCAACCTGGTTAGCAGATGGGTGCTTAACCACTGCACCACTATGACTCCTTAAGTTTCTCACAGGAAACAAAAATAAGAGATTTGTAATTCTCCCATATTTGGCTTTTTCCTTGATAATTAACAGTTCCATAAATCCAAGTAGCTGATAGTATTCCTAAGACTTCTCTTCAATAAAAGAGGAGAAATCAGATTGCAGCTAGTATTTTAGAAAATATATTTGTTGTTGTTGTTGGTTCTGACCCATAGCGACCCTGTATAGGGTTTTCAAGGAGCAGCTGGTGAGCTTGAATCGCAGACCTTGCAGTTCAAACAGCTTTGCAGTCTGGCACATTAACCCACAGCGCCACACCAGGACTCCATACATGCATTAACATTATTTTGAATCTGCCCCTCCTTCAGTTGTTAGTGTAGAAATCCTGTTGGTTACAGGGTTGTAGTCCACAGTCAGCCAAAGAACATTCAAGATTTACCTCACATTGAAAAACCGTGCAATATTCTGCCGGCTTCTTGCAGCCCCACCATTTCAACTGGGAGCATCTATCTTACGACACTGACTTTTTTTTTTTTCAGGATCAGCAAGGAAGCCTTTATTAGCTGGCCAGTAACTACAGCCTCCCTAAAAGCGGGAAAAACTGCAGCCCCAACCCAGTTTTTCAAAGAGTATTTATACATAGGCAGTCTGACATTATCTTGTACAAACCAAGGGTATGATGTATGCATAAGCTGTCAGGTGGGATTTAGGGGTACATCAGCTGGGACAGTTACTTCTCAAGATTAACTTTGGCCAGCTGTTCTCAAGGTTAGCCTTGGCTGGCTGGCCGCAGTGTCCTGTTAGTCAGGCGGGCCCACTCAGATGCAAGGAATACGACATTGACTTTTGATTGCTTGAGGCAAGAATGGTTGCCTTCCCACCCCACCCTATCCTCACACTGGCATCCACACACCGGCATCCTCACACCGGCATCCACACACCGGCATCCTCACACCGGCATCCACAGAGCCGACAGAGCAGGACATTCTGGATGTTACCTACCTGGGGCGTGAGCGTCCCAACCCTCTGGGTGATCGGTTCATTCATCACCACTTCCAGTTTGCACGCATCTTTCTCTTTGGGGACAGCAAACTTCAGGTTGTCCTCAGACAGGAAGGCAGAGCGGCCCTTCATCACCGCCACTCCCAGGTTCACGCTGACAAAGGTGGGGCTGGTCATTCTCAGGAGCGGCAGCAGCAGAAGGAGCAAGAGGACATTGGGCCCAGCCCATCCTTGAGAGGTCATGCTGACAGGGGGCAGCTTAGTCATCCACTGGCCAGATTCTGGATACAAAGGAGGTGTCTGTGTTCGTCCAGGGGGTCAGCTCAGAGTCCACGGGGCCGGGCCAGGGGTTCCGACCGTGTGCCCTGGGGTCTCAGCATGCCCCTTTCATTTAATCTCGGACAAGGAGGTCTTTCAGGCAAGGCCCAAGCTTTTAATAAAACTCGCTGATCACTCCTGACAACACCGGCAAGATGAATGTGCCTCCCAAGTGCTTTTCTAATCCTGCAAATGGGAAAAGGAGTTGGAGGAAAGAAGAGAGAGAGAGAGAGACCAAAAGGTTTGTGCGGCTATTCAAAAGACTGCTACCGACAAAGGAATCTTTCAACCAGTCTATAATTTCAGCTAAATTAAAAACAAATAAACGAACTTGACCTCCAAGCACATCTGAAAGCCTGAGCAGCCATTTCATTACTCTGCTTGTAGCTCAGCTTCCGGACTCGATCTGCCCCTGTTGGCATGTCATCTGTGTGGTCCCAGCGGAGACAGACAGCCTGCTCCTTACAAAAAGATCATGTTTGCTCCTCTTGGTTCTGAGCGAGCGGTCCAACTCTGCCTCTGTTTCAGTTGTTAAATGAAGATCCAGCCTACTGTGTGTTCAACAGGATTCCTTGTATGTTGTTCGAAAACATAACTAATGCTAAATCAATACTAGCCAAATAGGAAAAGGGCTTAACAATCTGTTGTATGGGCACAGCTCTGACTTGGCTGGGCAATGAAGACACTGGACTTAGGGATGCTGGGTTTCAGTTAAAGGTGACAGAAAAGTTTGGAAATGGGTTGTGGTGATGGTGGTACATGAACGTAATTGATGTCACTAAATTGTACATGTAAAAAAATGTTGAAATGGCAAGTATTTTGTTATATATATATTTTTTACCACAATAAAGAAAATTCTGAATGAAAATTAGAATACACGCAAACATATTTTTCCCAAGGGCACATTCAGGTTTTTGTCTCTATGTAAACCCCATTATTCATTGCCACAGAGTTGATTTCAACTCGTTGTTAGGTGCCATCGAGCTGGTATCGACTCATAACAACCATACACACAACAGAACAAAACACTGCCCGGTCCTATGCCAACCTCACAACCTGTGCTACACTTGAGCCCATGACTGCTGCCACTGTGCCAGTCTATCTCACTGGGGTCTTTCTCTTTTTCTTCAACTCTTCCACCTCATTTGTTGTGGTTAAGTGCCGTTGAGTCAGTTCCAACTCATAGTGACCCTGTATATGGTTTCCGAGGAGCAGCTGGTGAGTTTGAACCTCCGACCTTGTGGTTCAAGCCAACCTTCTGGTCCAGTGCTTTATCCCACAGAGCCACACCAGGTCTCCTCTGACTCCTTAGTGACCCTGTAAAGACAGTAGGACTGCTTCATGGCGTTTCCAAGGCTATCAACTCTTACAAAGCAGACGGTCATACCTTTCTCCCTTGGAGCAGCTAGTCATTTCAAATAGCCAACCTTGTGGTCAGCAGCAGAGCGCAGTAAGCACTGTGACAGCAGGACTCCCGTTATGTGTCAAAGGAACTCTACACGCATGGAGTGACATAAGACTGCAGAAACAATGAATGACACAGATACTGACACGAACTACCCACTACTATCAAGTCCATCCTTACCCAGAGTGACACTGAAAGACACAGTAGAAATGCTTCACAGGGTTTCCAAGGCTCTAATTGTAGCAGATGCTGAATGCCACAATTTCCCCTTATAGAGTGGCTAGTGGGTTCGAGCTATTTAACTATTCAGTTAGCAGCCAAAATATTAACCACAGAATCAGTAGAGTTCTTTTATGCTACCTACATTGTTAATTACATTATGAACTCCTGGTGTGGCACAGTAGGATTAGCACTGGATTTCAAACCACAAGGTCGGCAGTTCAAACCCACCAGCTGCTCCTTGGAAACCCTATACAGGGTCACTATGAATCAGAACCAATTCACTTCACTAGAGCTTAAGGACAACAACAGTTAACACTACAATGTACCTAATTTGCAGGAGCCCTGGTGTGGTGCTGTGGGATAAGCACTCAACCTCAAGGTCAGTTTGAACCTCAGGATCAGAGGTTCAAGCTCACGAGGCGCTCCTCGGAAACCCTGTACAGGGTCGCTGTGAGTTGACTCCACGGCACTTAGCAACAACAACAACAACAACAGCAATTTGCACAAATGTTTCTGCTTTGACGACTTATAATTTCATGGTTACATCTCTGCCCTATAAGGACTGCAAGGATCTTGTCCACATTGAATATGTATTGAAATAAATCCTTAAATCCGAGAATGGCTAAGTGAACCCATGCTTTACTACATACTACACCCATACAAAAGATTTTAATTGATTTCTATAAATGTCTGTATATAACCAAGAGATACCGAAATAAATGTTTGTCAGAGAATATGGACAACAATACCTCTATTATCACATCTTACATATTAAGAGAAGACCTAATCCTTCATCCTGTTCCAAACCTTTCAGTTCTGAGTCAGTGCCAGGTAAGTGTCATCTGACCCCTGAAGGGTGTAGCTCTTTGGAGAGGGGGGGTTGTTTCTTAGAATTATCAGTCCCAAAATAAATCTATCCAGACTCTCACTGACCATACTATCCACATTCAGGCTGCATTTGTTGCTCTTATTTGCAAATCTGATTGCTGAACTTTTACAACAAAATAAAACCTTTTATTCATTCATATCTGGCATTTAAGACATAAGACTACTCCCAAAGTAGGACATACAGGGGGAGGAAAGGCAACAAGGTAGGTAGGTTCCCCCACAAACTGGGAGACAGGGGACCTAACATCGCTCTCTGAAACTTAAAATCTCAGATTTAAAATCAACACAGACACACACAGTTGTATGGTTTCTGGAATTCTCTTCTGCCATCCACTTGGCCAACAGCTGAAACAAACCACTTGGAAGTGGCTGTTCTCTCACTAGACACTCCTTCCTTGTCTACACTACTGGCTCATCCTCAACTCTGACTTTTTAATAATGGGGTACATCATGCAATCCTTGGACCTGTTTGGTATCTACCCTAATACCTTATTGCTCTCATTCCTTGGTTGTAAATAACATTTTTATGCTGATGAGTCCCAAATTTATATCGCTAGCCTGGCCCTCCCTCATGAGCAGAAATATTAATATCTTTAAAGAAAAGAATTCTGTAGGATAAGCAGTGGACTACAAACCACAAGGTCAGCAGTTCAAACACACCAGCCTCTATGATGAAGAAAGATGAGGCTTTCTACTCCCATAAATATTAACAGCGTCAGTGAGTAGGTGGTTCTGGGTGCTTGGAGCCATAGTCTCAGGGGACACCATGGTCAATTGGCATGACATAATCCACAAAGGCAATGTTCTACATCCTACTGGTGAGTAGCACCTGTGATGTTAAAAGCCCTTGTGCAGACATCTGAGGTGCAGGTATTGGTGTCTCCATGTGCAGAAGAAAGAAGAGTGATGAGAACCGAAGAGACTTGGAATCAGTTAGTCTAGTGAACTAATGGAACAGTGAACATCAGACTCCACAACTCTAAGACCAGAAGAACTGGATGGTACAAGGCTACCACCACCAACTGCTCTGAAAGGGATCATATCAGAAGGTCCTGTATAAAGTGGGGAAAATATGAAACAAAACTTGAAATTACTAAATAAATAAATAAACAAATAAAAATGACCCAGCACACAGGCCAGAAAGAGACTGGAGGAACCTGAGACTATGATCCATGACCACCCTCCAGGTCTGGAAAGGAACTCATCCTCATGGCTCATTTTCAAGCAGTAGGTAGGTATAGAGGGGACAGCCAATACCAGTCAGGCATGCTCACCATGGAATGGTGGTCAGTCATTCAAAATCAAATGGCAACAGTTTCCAAAGGACAAAGTTGAGAAGAGACGAGAAGGTGGGTGAAATGGAAATAGGAATCCCAGGGAGGAAGCAGGATGACTATTGTTATGTGGAGGGAATTGCAATCTTTGAGATGAAACAAAGTGTAGGATGTGTTGAATGTAAAACTGATGATCTTGCCTGCAAACCTTCACCGAATTCACAATAAAAGGTTTATAAATAAATAAATAATAGCTTTAAAAAAGAAAAAGTAGATTGGAGGTTAGCAGGGGCTAAAGTGGAGAATAAGTTTCTATCAGGGAAATGAAAAAGTTTTGGTGATAGATAGTGATGATGGTTATACAACATTGTGAATGTAGTTAATGCCACTGAATTGTACAGTAAAGATGGCTAAAGTGGCCACTTTTATGGCGTTCTGGTGTGGCGCTGCAGTATAATGCGTTGGACCGCAAGGCCAGTTTGAGCCACAAGGCACTTAACAACACCAATAACATGTTTTACCACAATTTTTTTAAAAAGATGTAAATGACTGACAAATATAATGCATCAAAAATAAAAACTATTTTTATCTTAAAGAAAAAAATATACAAAACAACAATGAGATATTCATCTCACAACAGCAATCACAGCAAAGTTCAAAAATGCAGAGGATAATAAACGCTGGTGAGGAAGGATGTGGAGAGACTGGGACCCTCCTGCATTGCTGGTGGGATTGCAAAATGGTCCAACCACTCTGGAAAACAGTATGGTGCTTCCTCAGAAAGTTGGAAATAGAAATACTGTATGATCCCTACTTGGTATATAGCACTGTGGCTGCACTTCTTCAAACACAGATCTGTGGTTCTTTGTGCAGCCCATGGCACTTTCAATATTCTCCTCCAACACCATAACTCAAAAGCATCAATTCTGCTACGATCTTCCTTATTTACTATCCACCTTTAGCATGTATATGAGGTTACTGAAATACCATGGCTTGGGTCAGGAGCACCTTAGTCCTCAAGCTGACGTCTTTGCTCTTCAACACTTTAAAATGGTCTTGTGCAGCAGATTTGCCTAATGCAATCCGTTGTTTGATTTCTTGACTGCTACTACCGTGAGTGTTGATAGTTGATCCAA